CCTCAGCCAGCATGCTGGCTGAGGGATTCTGGGAGTTGAAGTCCACTCATCTTAAAGTGGCCAAGTTTGGACAACACTGGCATATGCTATTGAAAACAATCTGTCATGGGCTGATAGTTGAATAAGTGCATCACATTTCTATACATCCATCCGTTAGATTATAATCTAATTATCTAAAATGTATCTAATGATAACTTAATCTATCCCAAATAATCAACTAAGATACCTGAATTAGATCTAAAGTACCAGCCCTTTATAAAGGATTTTGCACCATTTGGTAATGGAATGTAAAGATAAAAGGCAATAATAATAGGGACATATCTGTGAAACATGTCCTCATTTTCTTACTTCTGCGCTACCTTCATGGGGCTGACACAAAATCCCATGTGTGTTTTGCCCATTGATGCCAACAGTGGTGCCACTAATGTGAAGATTACATCCTGCTATACCTTTTTTTCTCCACTTGTTCAGAAGGCATAGTCCTGGTTTTAATCACTGCATTTGTAGCAGTCCCCATCTTGCTGAGGTTCAACAAATTGAACTTCTTTTCAGCATTGTAAGAGGATGATCAGAAGTACTTTATCATAAGTGCATCACACTATGTTCCTGTTAGATTTGAAGGTCCATAGTTACATGTGAATTAATAACAGAACATGACATATCTATTGATTATGATTTAAACATTAGAGTGATGCCATAGACTTAATGTGTAAAAATCTCTCTCAGTGAAGTGTATTGTTGAAAAAAAAAATCTGAATTCAGAATGTTGAAGTCGTATGTATGTAGATGAGAACAATGTAATGCGTTATTGTTTTATCCTCAGCCTACCTTTGGTATTCCCAGAGGTAATAGTCAATCCAGGTTATCAAAGGAGGGAGTAGATGGACCCTTAGTATGATCTAGCAAGGTAATTCCTCAGTGTTATTAACATTTGCAGAAAATGAGAGATGGCTGACTTCACTAAGCTCCTCCAGTTCTCCCTTATATTCAGATTCATAATATACAAGTTACTCTTCCATATTTTCTCCTCTCCAT